TTCTAGATCATTTGCCATACTTTTCCTGTCTCTTAGTATCACTTGTCATCCAAAGTAGGTATTTCTTGAAACGTGAAAGGAGAGATTGTAAAATAAATATTACTTTTGGTGCCCTCAGATGCTGAAAAATGCACCAAGTGTCCAGATGATCAATATCCAAATGAGGACAGAGTCCAATGTATCCCCAAAATTATAACCTTCCTGTCCTATGAAGAACATCTGGGCATCATCCTGGTCTCCTTTGTTCTCCTTTTGGCCTTAACCACAGGCTTGGTTTTAATCACATTCATTAAATACCTAGAAACTCCCATCGTCAAAGCCAACAATCGGGACCTCTCTTACATTCTTCTCGTCTCCCTCCTGCTTTGCTTCTTGTCCTCCTTCCTCTTCATTGGCCGACCAAGGAAAGCCACCTGCCTCCTCCAACAAAGTGTGTTCAGCATCGTCTTCTCAGTTGCTGTGTCTTCTGTCTTGGCCAAAACAATCACAGTGGTGCTGGCCTTCCTGGCCACAAAACCAGGAAACCAAGTGAGGAAGTGGTTGGGGAAGATTTTGGCCAAATCTATCATCCTTTCTTGCTCTGCTGTCCAAATGATCATCTCTGTCGTGTGGCTGGGAGTTTCTCCTTCATTCCCTGAGTCTGACATGCACTCCCAGCCTGGAGAGATAATCCTGCAATGCAATCAAGGGTCTGTTGCCATGTTCTATATTGCCCTTGGCTACATGGGCTTCCTGGCAGCCATCTGCTTCACGGTGGCTTTCCTGGCCAGGAACCTGCCTGGGGCCTTCAACGAAGCCAAGCTGATCACCTGCAGCATGCTGGTCTGCTGCAGTGTCTGGGTCTCCTTTGTGCCCACCTACCTGAGCACCAAGGGGAAGTACGTGGTGGCCGTGCAGGTCTTCTCCATCTTGGCCTCCAGTGCTGGCCTTCTGGGCTGCATCTTCATCCCCAAGTGCTACATTATTGTTCTGAGGCCAGATCTAAACACTAAGGAACATCTAATGATAACAATAAAGTAGGGAACTGATTGTGACATTGTTTCCCAGGGTCATAACATTTAGTTATTTGTCACATTTACATAATTATTAGAACATAGTAATACAAAGGAAAAAATGATATTTTCCTGGGTGCCTTTGAACTATCTGTCTCAACAGGATCATCCCTCCCAAAAAGAATGGACTCACAGTTTGGGGGTGCTTTTTAACCCCCGTTTCCCTGACTGCTGAAATGAAAGGGATGTGAGAATGCCTGTTATCATCATAAGATCATCAAAACAGGATGTGGGGAAGCCTATGAAGGAAACTTGGAAGGCTCAGCAGCTTCTTTGTGTGTGTGTACATATCTGGAAAACTTGCTTTGAAATAAAATAAAATAAATAATAATATTGTTTTAAATGACTAAAAAAGGTCTAGAATGAGGCTCCCCAAATTCTATCCAATGTTCCTCCCTGGGGGGACATGGCCCCACCATCTTTCTTAGCCCAGCTTCACTGGTGTCCCCTGGTTTTTTTGAGCCAGTGGGCGTCTTCTGACGTACAAACCCCTTTATTGATCACCATGTGCCTGCTGAAAGGATCAAGGTCCCTAATTTACTCCTAAATGAATTAGTCATCACCTCTTGAGGGGGCCACCATCTTTTGAGGGGACCACCAAGGAAGGAGGCCCAGCAGGAATCTACAAGGACAGAGCCTTCTCGGTAGCAGCCCTGAAGCTGAGGGACTCCTTTCCCATCCACATTCAGTCCTTACTGTCTTTGATCGACTAACTATTTATATGTACCTATCATGGTGCCACAGCTTTACTCCATCCTGCTGCTCCAAAGTCAGGGGGCATCTGGTTCTGAGCTTCCCAGGGACTATCGGGGGCAGCAGCAGCAGCAGCAGGTCCATTCCACCACTCATCACCCTTTTTGAAGCAACAAGAAGAATTGGAAGAATTTAAGGCAGTCTCACAAAATGGACATGCTGGTGGCTTTACTGATTCAGACAGAGTGCAACCAATCTTCCCATGGAAAGGAGAGAAAGGGACATTCAAGTGCATAGCCCCTGCCTGTCCTAAAGCTCATGTCAAACTCCCTGGGTGATCAGAGGCACTTATCCTTTTCTGATACAAGACCCCTTCCATGCTGCTTCAGTCTGATGTTTACATCAAAGGCAGTCACTGGAGAAGTAGCAGAAGAGGTCTCAAAGACTGGGATGGTGATAATTACAGTGAGAAGCAACATCTCCTCTGGGGATCCTGAACTTCTTCTCTGGCTCCATATGCAGAAGGATAGCTGGAGAAAAGCATGCTTGTGAAAATCACAGAGACAGCCCTGGGGGCACTCTTCTGCAGTGGTTCTGGTCCTTCTTATTGGCACATGTCCAGAAAGTGATATTGGAGGATAAGAGTTCAACACCCAGAACTCTCTTGCAAGTCATAAGATTCACTTACGAGGTCCTTCAAGATGGCATCTTGTTTCCCATGCTTTTAAGCTCCCCAGAGACCACTGGGGAACGTTATCCAGAGCTTTGGAGGTTGATGCTGCTGAATGATGATGACACCTCTACTGCTCTCTACTTTCTAACTCCAATGAACCAACCATTACCCATGTGCCCTCCCTAACATTAAGGTTGGGACCTGTTTGGAATTTTGTTTTCTTTTAGATACGCAGATTTTCATCCTACAATTGAATGAATTGTCATTTTTTGTGTGTCGGAAGTGAAATTAACATCTCCTTTCCCATATGTTCTAGAAGTACTTGAATGTCATTGGATGTTCGTCTTTTATTTTCTGGTGAGGAAAGAAAGAATGCCCTTTTTAACAATAGTAACGAGAGGTCCGACACAGCGGTTGTATTCAACACTTTCCCTGTGGTGAGTTTTCAAAATGAAGGATGTAAGAATTATGCAGTTGAAGTCAATAACCCTAAAATCATTAGAAAGATGTTTCTCTTTATGATGGTCTTACACATTGCAGACAAAAATACCACACTGTATGCTGATTGTGCCTGAGTTTGAGGATCTTATGGCTGGCTGTTAGGTGTTGCATGGAATGACCAAAGGAATTTTTACATCTTTGCAGAAAATTTTGATCATTGTCCAGCACTGGATTGTTGCCCTCAATGATCGGTATGGCCCATGTAGCTGCTCCTTTTTTTTGTAAACTCAGCACGAAAGTCACCTTTGTGCCATGTATGGGCAACTCTGTTGGTTTGCCCACCATCAATAGTTCACTTTGAATTGTGAAGGTCAGGAATTGGTCCTGATCTCCTCCAAATGTCTTTGGTAATCTCTCTTGAGAATGCAGAAATATCATTTGTGCTTTGTGTTGAGGTGAATTCTGTCCCAACTGTTTTGTTAATTGAATCATGGCATTTTATAAGTTGGCTGTTCGTACATCCATCTATGGATGTCTGGAGGTTGAGTCATGGTAACTGGACTTTTCTTTTTTTTGGTAGAGATGTTTCGCTACTTGTCCAAGCAGCTTCTTCAGTCTAAAAAAGTTGGTT